GTGTCCAAGGGTTTGGGCACCCCCCCCCCCCCGAGCCAGAAGTGAAGACAGCTCCTACAGCCTTGCTTCATATGTTAATGCATCATTTTTTAATTTAGTTAACTTAAAAAACAGTGACTGTGGCACATGCAGAGTTCTGGGTGTCCGAGTGAGTACCCAGTACCACTGAGCTCCTATACTGCCACACATGCACAGATGCCATGTGTGCACAAGACTAACAACCGACGGTCAAACGGCCCAGTTTCCTCCCAAACCGCTGGGTTACAATATGTTCCTCCCAGTTTGGCCTGATCAGAAGCTTCTCCATAAACGTCCTGGTCTCTCCACTGACCCAGTCGCTGTCGTTGCTCTCCTCCATGTGTATTGTTACCGGTCTGTGAGGGGCCGACGCCGAATGATGACGACAGGCCGTATGTGCAGAGGAGACGTTAAAATGACCACATGGATCCTGATCTGACCGTTCTGATGGCGCTTGCACAGTCAGAGGTCAGAGAGGAATTGGGTCTAGGAACACATATGCAGGTGGCCCGGATCTGGTCTGAGGACATCTGGTTTGATGTATTCCCACTTCAGAACACCAGATCTGAGTCACATGGAAAGAGAACATCAGGTTAGGTTCAGATTAATATGAGGCTGAAACACATAGCCCCACTTATTCACTTTTCATTTCAAAAACCAATGTAATTTGCCCAGGGCCGCCCACACTTTTGCAGACAACTGTACATGTTGGGTGTTACAGGTGCATGATGGCTTTGAGCCGAAATCACAATGTTGCATGGTGCATGGATAATATGTACGTGATCATTTATGGATGATGTCATTCTCCATGACACCCCCCCTCCACCCTCTCTGATGATCTGCAGTCAGTCACTCACTTGCAGGAGGAGGAGGAGGAGGAGGGACAAGAAAATGCCTTTCTCTGTGGGAGACGTCAGCCCTGTGATCTCATGAATATGTTACACGGGATCATTGTGCAATAGGAAAGTGCACAGAGCTGTCAGCCTGCACAAGCACAGACTGCAACAAGCTTATTCTAATTAACCAGGTCTTTAGTAAAGTCATACTTAACATAGCACAGCTAGCTAGTGCTTATAGCTGCTACCGCAGGCAATGTATAAGTCTATAAATCTGAAGTATTTGCTCCTTGTATGTATGGGACGTGAAAACTAAAAGAAAACAGCGTAGAAGATTTTATTAACAGGGACATCCAGCAGCCCGACTGCGACACTAGCTAGCTAATGTGGCTAAGCTAACTGAACTGTCTACAGTCAGGCGGCTTCATCGTCTGGCAGCAAAGGTAAGCTCCACACAAACCGCCGTAATTATCAAGCTACAACTGCCAGCTATTTGGGTTACGTTACTAACTACGCAGTTGGTATAATGAGCTAACGTTAACCAAACATAGCCAAGTAGCCTCTAGCGGCTAACGGTGCCAGCAGCGTGTTGAAGACTGCGGGGAAGTCAGCCGTCGATTGCAAAAACCCGGTCAAGTGAGCCGCCGTTCGATTTCTGTTGCACTTCATTTTGTGCAATTATGGTACGGGTGCTGGTGGCGGCCAAACTGCACGTTTATAGACTGATGAATATTTAGGCAATTGAATGTCCATTAATTCTAAGATATCCGATACATTCTGTCATTTCACATCCTATTGTACGTGTATTTGGGCTTCTTAAACTTTTGTGATCATAGTCAAGGCCGCTCTGAACAGGAATCCACAGAGTTCGTACAAACTTCCAAATGAAAAGTACAGTAGAATGTCTTCACCTTTCATTCTGCAGTAGTCAGTGAAGCATATTATCAGTATAAATCCACTGGGATTTTAAGTCCATTGGTGTTTTCAAGAAGCCTGAATACACACGGCAGGATGCAAAAATAATAGAAGTTGTTTGAAATGTTAATTACAATTAATTGGCAATTGCCAAAATAGCCATTCTTTAAACGTCCATTTCGACCGCTCACAGCACCCGTACCGTAATTGCGCAAAAAGAAAAGCAACAGAATTCGAACGACTGCTCACATGACCGGGTTTTTGCAATCGACGGTTCCCTTGACCGCAGTTGTTGAAGACCAGCTGTGTTTCCAGATCTCTTCTGGCACAAACTAGACTACGATAGATAACACTAAGTTAACGCTGCGAGGCTACGGTGCCAACACACCAAAACTTTTATCTAAAACGGCTGCTTTTTATTGCCACTTCTTAATTATATTCGGCTTTAGCAGCAGCTTCCACATATCTGCGTTGGTGAAGCCGCTCAGTCAGGTAGGTGAAACGAAACGTGCTATTCGTACATTTAACTTCGTGACAGAGACAGAAAGAGAAAGGCTCCTCAGAAAGAGCTGCCGAAATGTTTTGTTCTGATCATTGTAAATGTGAGCAGCATGTTTTTGTGTTGTTGCAGGTCCGAGTTGTGTGTGTTAATTTGTATTGATCTGGCTCATGTTATTAACAGATTAATAATCATATCATAAGCGGGGGTCTGTCGACAAAAGGCTTGAATCAGGCTCCTTTGGCACGTTGCACGCTTCACTGCTGTTATTCTACCATGTTGTGTTGTTGTGTTGCAATGTGTTTCTGAGGTGAGGCTGCCACTGCCAGTTTTCCCTTTGGCCATGACTTCCTGAATGTATCATGGGTACAATAACATGTTTTGACTTGAAGCCAGCTGGCGCCGGTTTGGGTCAGGGTTTACATGCAAAGACAGAGACATCTTGGATAACGAGCTGGTTGTAAAGACTGAACCCTGTGTGTTTAATGCTGCTGTTTGAAACATCCAGATGTTTGTTTCTGGCTTTAGCATGTGTCCTGTGTGCTCAGGCTGCAACTGAAACTTCATTATCAATTCATCTGCTGATTATTTTCTTAGTCCAGTTTGGCACTGGCACTTTACTAGAGCTCACTGGGACGACTTCAGGTGGCTTGTCTTGTGTGGCCAACGGCCCAGAAGCTGGAGACCTTTCATTTCCTGTCACACAAGACAAACTGGTCTCCACTGAAGACCAGAAGTTGATCTGTTTTTGAAAAATTGTTACAGCAATTAATTTTCTGTCAAGTCAGCAGTAAAAGTTTTTAAAATTCTGCATATTGGATGTTTTTGGTTGTATTTCAAGCTATTCATTGACCTGGACCCAGTTCCTCTAATCAGGCACCTGTGGCACCTTTTCACGTAGCAGTTTCTCATTGTCTTTTATTCCTTGCAGTAATAATATTTTGTCCTGTCCTTTTGAGCTGACGTTTGCCAGTTGTGATGCCTGCCGGTCTTCTGTATTTCAGAGAGTTTAAATTGTATAACCTCTCAGGTTCCTTTGAGACGTCTAATGAGTCCTTTGTTACCAGCAGCTGGCTGCAGGTGTGAACAGCAGTGGCCTTCAGTGATTTGCTTATTAATGAAATACTTTTAATTTCCAGACAGTGTTATGAATAGATACTAACAGTCAAGAACCTGACTACTTATTTCATTTAGTTATGATAGGAAGGTGGAGGTCTTTTCTTCTAGACACGAGCCTGCTTTGACACAGAGGACACGATATTTTCATAAACCCTCTTAACACCTGGTTGCGTGTAAAGGAACCGTCTCAGGTGGTTTTATTCCTGGCAGCAGGTTTGCTGTTAATATTCACACTTTTCTCCACCTCTGCCAGTTCTGACTGTGAAAATGGCAAAAGTAGTTGTCAGTTGGCTAATAGACTCATCGATGAGCAACGGGCCTGGCTCTGTCAGAACACACCCGCAGTGCATCCAGAGCATTAGGTTTTTATTCATGACAGCCACTGGTCTCTGTTTTCTGACATTGTGCAGATCCAACAAATAATTGATTAGCTGAGAAAATGATTGGTAGAAGAATCGATGCAGCAGTTAAGTCACAGACACCACTTGAAATGCAGCTGATTGACTGTGAAGCTGACATTGTTGTGCTTCTGGGACCGTAGAGGTGAAATGACTGACCAACTGATTCTAGTAATCAGTGAGTTGTTAAAGTCGTGTATCAAGCCGGCCTGTCAGACCTTCTACTAGATAAATGCTAAACCACCTACGTCGTAGAGCTGAATGACTAGAATGAGTGGGATTTTAAAGTGTGTCAGGTTCCTGCAGGTTTAGCTGATAATACATGGGGACACCTGTATTTACAGTAGTATTACACGGCGATCAGCTCCTGGGTTTGTTTACAGACCCACTCTGCTTTCTGAGCAGCGGAGACGGCACTTTTGTCAGTTTGTGTAGTAACTCTGTGACTCGAACAACCATGTTACACCTAGATCATACGGCTGCTGTCATATAATACACGTTTCTTGACACCTGAATAAATGCTTTGTGACTTATGGGTGCAACTAGGACTCCAGTATCGAATCCACAACTGCAGTCAAAATTCTTTCTTTGAATGTTGTGAGGTTTACATTTCAGCATTGGCTTGTTACTCACCTGCAGCAACACTGGTTCACTGAGAACAGTAAATTAGCTGCTCTGGAAAAGATTACTCAACAGGGTGGAGAACTGTCAGGAGAGGTGGGGGACGATCGTGCCTTGCTGGATGGAGTTTAAAGTTCTTAGCTTACCATGAGGTAGTGACACTCACTCTACCGGCGCTATATCAGATTCTGTTTGAGCGTGACGGCTGCGAGCTAAGCAGATGTCTGGGGATTCTTGTAGAGTTATAATAAAGTGCCCCACCTTTTTAAAATTAAGTTTTTATTTCATCTGTTTGTGTTAGAAATTTTGTTTTATCATTATCTAATATCTTATTATGGGTTTTCCATTCTTGTATTTGTCTTGAGTTGATTATGCTGAGCCCTTTTTTGTGGCAGTGTTCTGTTGTTTTTTTGTAATTAATCAAAATAAGTGACAGTATAGATCTAAAACATTTGCATGTAAAGTGTAAAATAACTCCACCTCAAATGCCTAATCACATTTTGTGGGCTGAGAAGGCAGAGGTTTTAGTGTAATTAACAACCCGTTGACTGAATATAATAATGGATGACTACAACTCCCAGAAATGAAGCCATCGCCCCCTGGTGGTTGGTTGCAGTACGTCATCAACCCTGCCCCCCCACGTTAGCAGATGGGACATTTTAGTTAGATGTTATCCCACTCAGTTGTGTACAAGTGGTCTTTACTCTTCATCATGTTATATAATGGTATAAAAAGGGGGGTGCTTTAGATGATTGGCTTCCTGATGCCACGGCTCTACCTCTGCTCGCTACTGGCTGAAAAATGTCTTACAAAACCAAGATGGCTGCGCATATTGGCAATATTTTGGCTTAACTTCGTCCATTATATACCATCTGTGTTATAACCTGTTCTCACAACCTAGAAATGAGGCAACAGGCCTCATATGTGAAATGTTAATTAGATGTCTGTAACATTTAATTAGCAGCTATAGCTTTGACTGCAACAACCGTCCATTACTTTTCAATTAACTGATTTGTTAAGCTTAAACAGTCGAGAGGACATTCTTAAATGTCTTGATCTTCTCAAATAAAAGTTCAAACCCCAAAGACTTAAGTTTACAGTGACCCAAAAAGAAAATCCTCACTGGGAAGCTGCTGAAGGTTTGACACTCTCCTTGATTTAAACACCTGAATTATTAATCAGTTAACAAAATCATTGCCAGTTCAGATCATCTAATTGGTAAGTTGACTAATAACTTCACTATGAATTATGCCCCAGAAGATGAAAACCTGGGATGCAGAGTATTGATAAGTGGCTGTCAACACAAAAGAGTCAGTGTTGATTCATTGATGTGAAGAAAAGAGAAGCACAGGCAGTATGTAAATGGTGTTTGTTTTTAATTTGATTTAGTAGCAGAGGGAGTCTTTAATCATCTTTACTGACTGGCTGCCAGCCTGTCTTCCCCTCAGGCCGTTCAAACACACTTGAACATGAATAGCTGTTACTCCCGAATTAAGTTGATCATTAGTTTAATTGAATTTGAATTTTAATTGAACTTTCTCGCTCCAGGTGTACTCAGCCGCTTGAAACTAATTTACAGAGACTACATTATATTTGGATTAGTGGTAACTGTTTGAGTTGTTGTCACATAAAAGTGTTGAGCCTTACAGATCGCTTTACATTACTGTATCATAGCAGCCCAGGCAAAGTAATGATGAAAAGGTTGAGTGCATTAAAGCAGGAACCTTTAAAGTTTCATTATCTAAGATTTCCCACATTGTCTGCTAACCCCAGTGACAGTGGGACAGGACGTGGTGTCTCCCAGCTACACCCCCCCCCTCCATGACCCTCAGCTGCCTACAGCCTCCTGTTGTTATTCCAGCTTCTCCCCCCTGTGTTGTCAAAGTACGGTCTGTAAATCAGCCCCGCCTGCTGGGGGGGGCTAGAAGAAGGGTTTTTACGGCCAGTAGTCAAGTCAAACAGCCATGGAGGGACTCTGGGCAGCTAA